ATTGAGAAAGGGCCAATATCTTTATTTTGTAATCTAAAAAACAAAGTCAGGCCATGGAGCAACCACCGTGTCCCTATAATTTGCTGGATTTGCAGTAAACATAGGCATCCAGTAAGTGCAGGAGTAAAATGTTTTACAGTGAACTAATGAGACCTTTGTGCTTTTGAAGTGTTCTCTTAGTCTGTGAGTAAACCGAAAACAAGACCTGTGGCTACCAAACGAAAAAGCGAAAGACAAAAAATCCTGTTTGACAACATCTGGGCATGCCCTCGCCCATCTGCACTCTGTTTCTGAGTGCTGTTTTTCGTCTGGCAGCAATGTCATCGACCAATCAGAAGGTTGGCGGTTCAATTCCTGGGTCCTCCAACTCCTCAGGCAACATACTGAACCTGAGGTTCCCCTGATACATCCATGCGTTATGAATGTTAGATGAACTTGGTTGTACTTGAGTCCATGACATTAGTAGCAGGAAAACACTTGAAAGTTGGAATTGAGCACACAAGCACTATATATGTTCCAGTCTGTTGTTAAAGCATAAACAAAGAAATAATAAAGACAAGGAAAAACATCGACAGATTCTCAACTTGTTGATTAACCTCCACAACTTTGCTACACTTGTTCTTGTATAATGTATCTAAGCAGTTAGGGACCTTTTTAAATGTTAAAACAAGGTGGGACACGCCCACACAGGCACCTTCAGGAGGAGGCCCTGCTAGGGCCGTAACAATTATACACAAAATGTAAACACAGAATGTGGGATATCTTTAACGCCACTCTGCCACACCACTATGAGTCATGTAGAAAAAAAACAACCATCGTAACCGGCAGACAAAAATACAGAAGCGAGTCTGGTGTTTGTCTCCTCCTCCAAACAGAAAAGAGGAAGGGCGACATTGCACATAAAAACCAGCCACACATTAGTCAATTGAACTGTGTGTTCACAGAACTTTCCTCCACACATCAGGAAGACTCTGAAGCAGGTGAGTGCTGAAGATGACTGTAGTTACAGGACAAGATTTGAGTTTACTCTTGTTATTTAGCCTTTTATTACATTACTCTTTCATCATCACATAATATCTGAGCACGTGGATGATTCTTTTTCATGCTGTTTGCAAACATTTCATGGATTGCTGCTTATTATTGTCACTCTCCCTATTTTATTTCAGGTTGCAAAGCAGCAAATACAATGGCAGGTAAGTGCATTTAAATATTTGTCAGAACAACCGATCACTTTTATAGTTTTTTGCAGAAAAAACAATCACTTTTAAAGACGTTTGCATAATTAGAGGGCATTCTTCATCCTGTCTACACCTACAACCAATAAACATGCCCACCTCATGTTCTCTATCATATCCAGACTATCTCTCCACTCTGTTATATAATGCATATGCACAGGGTATGAACCCCCTTGGATATGGCGTGTGGATACTTCTTTAAGACACTCTGGCCACGCCCCACAGCTTACATTGATTGGAACATGGCTCCAAGCAGCATGACGGTGGAGAGATAGTCTCTCACTCAGAGGACCAAGGTTACAGTGTAACCGTACGTTTCCTCTAAGACTTAAAGCTTGTTTGGTTTGCAGATGAGAGCTTTAAAAAGGAGTTTCTTGATACCCACAATGCCTATAGGGCACAGCATGGTGCACCACCACTGACCTT